CACAGGGTGCAGGGAAGGGCTGGGCAGCTGGTGGTGGGCACAGAAAGGAGGCAGCAGATGGGAGCAGGGAAAAGGGACACCCCAGGCTGGGAACCCATCACCACACCAGCGTGCCCAGCCCCATTGCACCCAGGAACACACCCCAGCCTCTCACGAACCCCCACAAGAGGCTTAGCCATGAGCAGAAAAGGACTAGGAAGACTCATCAGGTTTCACCCCCAGGAGAGTGAAGCCACTGAAGAGCCATCTACTCTCCCAGCCACACGTCCATCACCTGTGAAGATGGTGAGCTCCCCTCGGCGGTGCCCTTTGAGGAGCTTGTTGAGCTCGGGGAAGCGCTCCCACTTGATGCCAGCCACTTGCTCAGTGTTGACAAGCTCCCCAAACACCTCCTCACGCAGCTGCCGAAAGGAGACGATGGATTTGTGGCTGGCGGGCAGGGCAGCACGCAAGATCTTGGTGAGGTTCAGGCCCTGGTTCAGAGCCTCCAAGGGCCGGGGCTGGAGGTCGCCAGGACGTACCAGAGAGCAGCGCTTGAGGCTCAGCTTGCGGGCAAAGAGTTTGGCCGCTTCCCAGGAGCGCAGGTCCTCGCCCAACCACAGCGTGATGCGCTTGAACTGCTCCAGGTAAGGCAGAAGGGCGGGAGGCAGGCAGGTGGCTCCCCGTGGTAGGGCCAGGCTGGCCACACCCGTAGCTTGGTGCAGGGCCAGGGCGTCCAGCTCCCACCCAGTTAAGACCAGTTCTGTGTCTCGGCGGCTGATTAGGGGCAGCCCAAAGAGATTGCGATAGGAATCAAAGCGAGGTAAAGTCTCTTCCACATACGCTATCGCATCCCCCTTCTTCTCCACCCTCACAAGCTTCAGGCCCTTCAGAGTTGCATCGCGGGGGCTGAACCAGGGGAAGACAAGGGACTTCGCAGTCCTCAGGTAACGCACCCCGAACCGTTTCAAGGTGGTGTCTGTCACCAGGGAGATGCCGAACATGGCCTTGGTCTCATTGGTCTCCTCCTCATCGAGCAGCTCCCACAGCGGCAGTGCCCGGTCCCAGATGCAGCGGGCATCCTCGCGAGCCCGGCGCGTGTC